CTGAGGTCTGCCAGCTGGTAGGCGCATTACTCCTGAACAAGCTGGCAACCTACATCGACAAGCCATCAATCGGATTGTACCGTGATGATGGCCTAGCTACCCTAAGGAGAGTACCGGGTTGGAGAGCAGACAAGATACGGAAGAACATCATCGGCATGTTCCAATCACTCGGCCTGAAAATAACAATCGACGTCAACAGAAAAGTAACCGACTTCCTAGACGTCACTCTAAACCTCGAAACAGGCACCTACAAGCCATACCGCAAGCCCGGGGACACGCCCCTCTACCTCAACCGTGAGTCTAACCATCCTCCAATAGTAATCAAAAACCTGCCGCAGTCCATCAACAAGCGCCTAACGAGCGTCTCTGCCAATCAAGAAGTCTTTGAAGAGGCTGCCCCCACGTACGCTGCAGCTCTCTCAAAAAGTGGCTTCAACTACGCACTCGTCTATAACGAGGAACCGGCGAACACGGAAGGACAAGCCAGGAGGAAAAAGAATCGAAAGAGGACCATCATTTGGTTTAACCCACCGTACAGCCAATCCGTGAAGACTGATGTTGGCGCGACATTCCTGAGACTTGTCAAGCGCCATTTCCCAGAAGGATCTGTTCTAAGAAAAATATTTAACAAAAACACGCTCAAAGTCAGCTACAGCTGTTCGCCTAACTTAGCCTCAATAATCAAGGGCCACAACGCGAAAGTCCTCAGACAGCCGGAAGAAAAGAGATGTAACTGCCGTGTCAAAGCAAACTGCCCACTCAACGGGGACTGCAACGCCAGCGAGATAGTATACGAAGCTACAGTGGACTCCAATCTCAGCCGGAAGAAGTATATCGGCATCTCCGAAACCCCGTTCAAACTCCGGTTCAACAACCACACGTCATCGTTCCGGAATGCCCCACACAGAAACAGCACAGAATTGTCGAAGCATGCATGGGCATTGAAAGAGGCAGGTGAAGGCGTCAACATCTCGTGGAGAATCAGGCAGAGATCCAGCGCCTACAAAAGAACCTCGAAGCGGTGCAACCTATGCCTATCGGAGAAGATCGCCATAATGAAGAGTGACAAGGCATCGCTCCTCAACACCAGATGCAGCCTGGTCACAAAATGTCGCCACAGCACCAAGTACCTCCTATCGGAGGTGACCTGAACTGTAGACTGTGCTTGCTATCTGTTACACATATACAGAACTCCTGCTATCTAATGTGCATGCATCCTACTGCCACACTTCACTTTATGCACACCACCCGGCCTGCGCGATTGCTCACACTACCACACTTGCCACATTTATCTTCACCTGTGATTCCCACCTAGACTGGCTAGCGTGCTTCTTTTCCCCACCTGTGATTCCCACCTAGGGTGCTTCTTTTCGTCTTTTCTGGTATGTAAAGGGATACTGATGTGAGAGAAGAGTAAGTTGCCTGAAGAGTGCTTTTGCACGAAACTCAGAGTAGCAACACTGAGAAACTTGGAGATCCTTTGTGTCTGAGTGTATATATTATATATATATTGAGTATTATATATATATATATGGTATCATACTACTCCCTGGTTCAGACGTACATGCTAGGCATGGAACCACAGAAGATGATATCATAGCTGACACACAGAGTCACACACACAGCAGATTCGTGTGCACAGATACTAAATTAGTTGACGTCGTCATCTTCTTCCCGCTGATCTCAAATGTACTATGACGTGCTATTTCGCCTGACGTGTCAAGGGCATACGGGGAGTGTAGCATGCCATCGCTTACACTTTCCAGCTCAGGGTTGCCCTGGCTACCAATGGACGAGATTTCAGGGTCACAGCTTGCGCAATGGCTTTGTACTTTTGGAATGGCCACTCGACGTACTCAGCACAAATTCTCTATTGCACGCATGCACAATATGTTCAAATTTCGTATTTTTGGTGACTTTAGGCTGTACTCACACTACTTGAAAGTTTGACGTGAATGTCGCGTTCAAAACTAGACAAAAGTACTTGAAAAAGCCTTTCCAAGCACACTGCACTCCAGTGACGACTTGAAACATTTTTGTCAGCAAATTACCATGGAGAAACATGATTGTCATGTGGTAGTTTTGCAAATCTCGAGGCTGCGTTCCTTCAATTTTTTTGCGCTCGATCAACTTATTTGAAATTTTCAGTTCATGAGAAAAATAGAAACAGTTATATCTTGCTTGGATCGTGGAGTTCATTCGCCATGCCTCGCGAAGAAGTAGCACATCGTCGACGTCGACGGATGAAGAGGTTTCTCTCCACAGCTCGATGAGCTTCTTCTCCAAGTCGTCAGAAAACACTACGCGAGGCATGATGTCGGTACAAAAGCAATGGTACAAAAGAAATGCGACAGAAATGGCAATCAAAACAACGGGAAGCTACTGGAAGAAAGAAGACGGAAAATACTCGGGAAAAACACCACAGAATTCAGAAATGACAGGCAAAAAAAGGAAACTACAAGTATATGTACAGGAGCAGTACGACCACGAGGAAACAAAGCATGAAAAATATTCTGGAGCCTTTCAACGTACAATAGTACTCCGGCCTCCTGACCTCACATAGCTTTCCAAACGGCTTGAAAGCAAAAAACCTCGTAGAAGAGGGTTCCGTTTCCGCTGAAACCTTTCAAGCGGCTTTCAAGGGCTTTTTTCATTTTCGCAACCGTCACCGTGGCAACATTCACATGTAAGTCACTTGTATGCGGTTTTTCAAGTAGTGTGAGTACAGCCTTACCACCGTCATGGAGGCTGATCGGTGAGGAGCAGGTAGGCATCGCTTGCGGAATCAAACACATGGTTCCACTGTGTGGCTGGTTCTGCAAGGGCCAGGTCCATATGAGTGTCGTACGTAGTTTAGCTGCACGCTTTTTGCCTGGTTACTGCTAAGATTACGTGTCCGTGCCTGGGTACGTGCCTGGGTTCGTGCCTGGGTCCGTTTGGGGTTATAACTCATGGCCCTGCGCCGTTTTCCTGGTCTTCTGTTTTCTGTAGTCGTCGCAGCTCCTCGTGGTGGGACCGTTTTATTCTCTCTCTCGTGGTTTTCTGCCCTTTTGTTACTCTTATCGTTTCCGTTGTCCTCCTGAGCCCTGCTCCTTTCCTTTGTCCCCTTATTCGTCGTTTGAGGCCAAGTAAACCGTATCAACCCGAACAATTCGTTGCTCTGTCTGACTGGTCGCGGGGGCTCAGACAACATGAGGAACATTCGCTTTGTGTTTTGCCAACGAAGTAAGTCACTTTCCTTGTTCTCAGTGTTTTTTTACGTTCAACCTTTCTGAGATTTTTGAATTATTGACTTTTCATTCTTTCATACTTTATTTCTTCATGTTCACTGACTCGCTTGCCGTCTGATCTGGAGAATGTGATGGAGGTTGTTGCATGTGCTACACATGAGTTATATGTTTTGCTTGTAATTATCATGCACAGACATCTAGTGCCTTGCTATGCCATCGCATGACACTCCATCCATGTACGGCTTACCTGCACATGACACGCATTCATGATCAACCAACCTATGTGGTCTAGCTTGTCATTGTATTGTACACATCCGGTTCTGGATCCTTCTATCTTCTTCTACTGCTTCTAGCACCTTCCAACCAGTTCTGATAATCTGGAGTGATTTGCATTTCTTTGTTCTTGTTGTTTATGTTCCCAAGAAGTGAAGTCACAATAGAATTCTCTCGCATGTTGGGTGTGTGTGCTCGAAATAAGTAACAAAGTTCAAGGATCGAACTTTACATGGTGTCAGAATAATGTCAACCCGCACAGCCCCGGTCCCTGACCGCTTCGACTTTTCTGCCCCGCAGAAATGGCCTCTGTGGCGAGAACGATTCTCGACCTACCGTCTTGCTACCAAGCTTAACGAGGAAGATGGTGAGGTCCAGGTAGCAGCTCTGAAATATGCATTGGGTCCGGACGCTGAGCCTGTGTTCCTGCAGCTTCAGTTTGACGCAGACGCTGATAAGAAAGACTTCGACAAAGTGCTCAAGAAGTTTGGTGACTATTTCACGCGAAGACGAACCTATTCCACGAGCGGATGGTGTTCGTGCGTGCAGCGCAGCGTCCAAGTGAGACGGTGGAATAGTTTCTTCGTCCTCTGCACGTGATAGCTGAGACATGCGAGTTTGGAAATAACAAATCCGATCGCATTCGTGACCGTTTCGTTGCCACCTTGCTAGATGAGAAATTAGCAACGGACTTGCAGCTGACGGACAATCTGACCTTGGAAAAAGCTACAGAGAAAGCTCGCGGGTACAAGCTCGTCCGCCAGCAAGTCGCCTCACAGCGCGGCCATGCCATTGCTACACCTGCGTCAGCCGCTGTCGCTGGTGCTTCTGCTAATGCAGAAGCACCAGCTCTCTTCAAGTTATTGGTGATTGTTCATGTGAATGCAAGAAAGTGCTAGTTTGCCTTCTTTTCTGGTACTGGCATGAGGTATTGGCCTATCGCATTCGGTGTCCCTTTATTGTCTTCGTCCGATTATCCCTTTTTGTCTGTGTCCGATTGTCGCATTGCTATATCAGTAGTGCCAGCACAGCGATGAATTTCTGCCATAAGCAGGTGTACCTTGCATTAATGTTCAGTATTATTACTTTGTTCATTGCCTACACAAGGATTTGGTGTGAACTCACAGTGCTCCCATGCACGGGACTCTTCAAAGGAGGATTACAGAGCAAATTCTACCAACACGGTCAACAACCCTAGTCGTAGCTGGATGAAGAATACAAACCAGGCTTCTCTTGCGCATAACATTGCATGTATGTGTCTGATGCACCCGAAAACCTAGACAAATAGATATGCAATTTTACTCAATCTCCACATAGCTAGCTGCTTGGGCTCTGTTAGGTCTTATCAAGGGGCTCAGAGTGAATACACACATTGCAATGAGGTCCGGTGACAAATGTAGCGTATCTAAATCAGCTAGGTATGTGATGTACATGGGTAGATTTGCTTCTAGCGCTTTGCAATCTGTCTACTCTGTATTTTCCTGGGATATGCTGCAGTTGGATCATGCGGAATACCTGGCAATCCAGCCAATGGAAGTATAATTGGGAATCCATCCTTCACGTTCCATACAACTGTGGAATATAAATGCCAAGCAGGATTCAATATAACTGGTCCAACAACAAGATCATGTCTTGCAAATGGAGATTGGGCACCAAAGGAAGAACCTAAGTGCTCGCTCATCACCTGCGATCCTGCACAAGCAGGAAAACCATCCAATGGACACGTTTCACCAGCAATAGGACAATTTGCTGTTGGTGACAAATTGCAATTCACCTGCAATATCGGCTACACGCTACAAGGAGCTAGTGAGACAGCGTGTCAGAGTAACTCACAGTGGTCCGATACCGCAACAACATGTACGATTGTTAACTGTGGGTCACCACCATCTCACCACACGTCTAGTGTGCTGGCCCCTAGCACGGTATATAGAAGCACAGCCAGCTATACATGTTTACCTGGTTTCCAGCCCAGCTCTGGCCTGAATCAGCTAACATGTCAGCCCAGTGGCCGATGGAATGGAGGTGCACTGGTTTGCTCACGTAAGACACTATTTCCTTCTGGCTCTCAATGACAGTCACCTGGTGATAAGAACCTTTCCTGCCACCAGTCCCAAAATTTCCCTCTTGTTATTTAACCTACATGATACTTCGATGCTTCCTGAGTGTGTTTTGCTTCGTGTTACTTGCAGGTTATCTGAGCACAGGGGAAAACATAAGCCGGCATCCAGAGAAATGAAATTGATGTGAACATGAAAGCTATCTGGGTATGTCCTGTGTCTGCCGCGATTTAAAAGCAACAAAATTCCGCCGCTCCTGTGTTTATTACAGGGATTCGTTGTTTAGCTCTTCCACACTTGTCGAATGGAATCATACAACAAGGTCTGACATCACAGTTTGCCTCTGGGGAGAGGTTCAACTTCACTTGCAACACAGGGTACAATTTGATTGGCCACAACTCTACAGTTTGTCAAGACAATGGGCAATGGTCGAATCCTCCTCCCACGTGCAACGTAGTGGACTGTGCCCAACCTCCCGATGGCAACAACACATTTTCTAATTTTTCCGCCACAGTGTATGGAAGTGAAGTGACCTATACCTGCCTGAGTGGGTTCCTAGCAGGGGTGGGAGATTTCCTGCACACGTGCTTGGAGACAGGAGAATGGAATGGAACACTGCCCGAGTGTGCTGGTAAGGATATGACATACACACATTCTGCATACTCGCCAACCCCCCCGGTTTTCCCAGGAAAATCCCGGTAAATCAACCTTACTCCCGGGATCCCATGGATTTCAAGCAAACTCCTGGAAAATTCACATTTTTGTCTGATCCAGGTTTTTCCTGAAAACTCCAGGCACTCACCTGCAATGTCCCGGATTTTCAACAAAATGTATGATACTCGCACTTCGAACTGTATGTCGTACACGGCAATTTCAAGACCAGCCTAGCCTAGCCTGCGTGATCTGCACTGACACTGGGCGTGTGCTGACTGATCGAACTGCACTGCATGGTCGAGCTGTGCTGTACCCACTCGGAGGTGACAGTCCTGTTATGTAGAATGTTTTTGGCGGGAAAAGCTCTTTTTCACGTGTTTTGGTGCCATCCAGGGATTTTGGGAGAAATCCAGGGATCCTGCATGTCCTGTCAAGGGATTGAGATTTTCTGGTTGGTCAGTATAATTCTGCCATTAGAATGTTGCAGAATTTCACACAATGTGGAATGTTATTTTTGTCGAGTTTTTGACTTTGCCCAATATGCCAAGAACAGGTCTCTAAAACATGTCATAGTGGGTGAATGAGGTCCACTTATGAATAAAAGTAGCCAACTTTGATTGAAATCAGAAAAGTGTTTCATGTCCTGTGATATTTGGTTGATACCGACATAGACTTTTAAGTTGTTTTCTGACTCGCTCGGCCCACTAGTTAATGTAGCATCACTTGGGTGTTTATCATTGTACTGTGTATTATTGTCTCTCCTTGCCTCTCCTTATCTCACCTCTTTCTTTCTTTCATTTTGTTTCTCTCTCCTTGTGCATGATATTTCTTCGCTTATTTTATCACTTAGTTGGGTAACTTGTAATTGATACCACCCCAGTGATACTAATTCTCCATGCCATGGCCAGCAATCGAGGACATATGGGAGTTGTAATTTTTGTACTCCTCCGAGGTATGATTTTTGGCCTGGGCCAGGCACAAGGAGAAGCCTTCTGCTGAAACAAAATGAAGAAAATCGTTGTTGTTTGATCCTTTGATGTAATCTTTGTAGCTTTTAAAAATTAGTGGCTGTTTGAAGCAGAAACACTGAAATTGACCATTTACTGGATGACTGTACTGATGTACTCATGCACTCAGGCATGCAGGTTTTATGTTACTCAACTTACATTGTACAACGAAGAAAACAGTACTTCTCCTGTTAAAGGTTTTCAAGGCCAAAGTACTTCAAGCTACCTAAAGAAATTTGTCATGATATTTTCTGCACCCCTTAGGCTATAGCCCTGGATCCACCCCTGTATGCCCACATAGATCATCGAACACATAAGCGAAAAATGGAACTGTATACACCACAACCATAAGTTGAAGGTATTAGCAATGGAGCAGAGCAGAGGGCCCTGCACGTTCAACATGTTCAATACTAAAATATGTGTTGATTTCATCAGGCTCAGTTACGTATATTACTGTTAGGTACCTCCTCCCGTTCCTTTTCTAGCTGGCCTGCATGCCCTTGCGTACTCACCTTTTGTCTTCTTTTGTTCCGTTGGCCTGGGTAGCTACTTGCGCGCCCATATTTGCCATAGCTACCCAGGCCCTTTATCTTGCCGTTCAGACTTGATCTCTTTTCTCACTCTTCAATGTAGTCATTTCGTTCGTCTTGGTCTCTTGTCTCGTCGTCTATAATAAATGTCGTTCCCCCAACCTGCCTGTTCCCGTTGTAATGTCTGGATAATGTGTCGTCAGTCGTCCTGTTTCGAACTCAACATTGGCGCCCAACGTGGGGCTCGAACCCACGATCCTGAGATTAAGAGTCTCATGCTCTACCGACTGAGAAACTAAACTTAGGTATCACAACGAGAGAGCTTGGAAGCTCAGGGCCCTACGCTATGCTTTTATGCTTTTTTTGCCTAGCTCATCATGCATGTTATTAGAACTGATGGAAATGTTTTTTTTCCGTTGATTGGCGACATCATTTTATTGCAAAAACGTTTCAACCAGTTTGAATATGAGTTAGGTAAAAGTATTTGCAGAATTTATTGCGGATTGTTATTTTTCTCTAATTTCATCCACTTTTGGTTTGCTCCTTCTTTTCTTTTTATCTCCTTATACTGTAAATCAACAAATTTTGGCCGATGAGAAACTTTGGCCGATGAGAAACGAAACTTTTCACCGTCATTAAACTTTGGCCGATTGGAGTTTTCAAAAGATATCGATCGGTATTTTTTGCTCTCGCATGCATCCATTGCTCAATCATGCATCAATAGCCTCTATGACAAACGTTGGCCTGCGATTTACTTTGGCCGGTTGGTACCAAACGGCGAAATCAGCGAAATTAAATCGCCAGCGACAATTAGTTGATTTTAATACAGTAATCGGATTTTCTGGCCTTTTTGTAGTAATACATTGACCTATTGAGCCAATGAGGGAAAATTATATTCCATACAATACGATACAATACAATAATACAAAATAATGTCCTTACCTTGATAGTGTGCTTGTGCTTAACTGCTGCCGACGGCCGAATGCATGGTTGCCTGTGGAGCACGTTACATAACTTTACAGTCTCCTAAAATACGTATCCTGTCCGACGGCAAAAGAGGCTGCAGATTTGGTTTTTCTGCGCGTTATCAGCAATGACTACTGGTCTTCAGCAACTTGGGTCTCCTGTAATACGCTGGGACCGGCGCTGACTCTGCCGATCACGGGCGTTCTGGAGTCGACGGGATCTCTCTTCCGACGTTTCCTGTGACTGGCGCTGAATCCATGTACGGCTTACCTGCACATGTCACGCATTCATGATCAACCAACCTATGTGGTCTAGCTTGTCATTGTATTGTACACATCCGGTTCTGGATCCTTCTATCTTCTTCTACTGCTTCTAGCACCTTCCAACCAGTTCTGATAATCTGGAGCGATTTGCATTTCTTTGTTCTTGTTGTTTATGTTCCAAAGAAGTGAAGTCAAAATAGAATGCTCTCGCATGTTGGGTGTGTGTGCTCGAAATAAGAAACAAAGTTCAAAGATCGAACTTTACAGAGGTGACAGTTGGTTGCTGCCTGGTATAACGGTTGTCGTGCTGTTGCTGTATTTTCGTTCTGCTTGCGACGTTGTAGATCACAAACAATTTGAAATCACATGAATTGTACTTACCGTCGTGCGTGCAGTATGAGGAAACGCTGTGCAGATTGGATCGTCGCAACGTATCTATATGTGTGTTTGGCCATCCTGTGCCACGCAAGAACTCCAACCAGACACATTCGTCCTCGGCCCTGTTGATCGATTGTCCACTTCCCTTGAAGCACGATCGGATCAAAAAAATCGAGGACTTTTTGCAAAACAAACGGCTGAAAAAAGCTCTGTTAGGTCTTATCAAGGGGCTCAGAGTGACTACATGCATTGCAATGAGATCCGGTGACAAATGTAGCGTGTTTCAATCAGCTAGATGTGTGCTGTGCATGGGTCGATTTGCTTCTAGCGCTTGGCAATCTGTCTACTCTGTATTTTCCTGGGATATGCTGCAGTTGTATCATGCGGAATACCTGGCAATCCAGCCAATGGAAGTGTAATTGGGACTCCATCCTTCTCGTTCAATACAACTGTGGATTATAAATGCCAAGCAGGGTTCAATCTAACTGGTCCAACAACAAGATCATGTCTTGCAAATGGAGATTGGGCACCAGAGGAAGAACCTAAGTGCTCGCTCATCACCTGCGATCCTGCACAAGCAGGAAAGCCATCCAATGGACACGTTTCACCAGCAGTAGGGCAATTTACTGTTGGTGACAAATTGCAATTCACCTGCAATACCGGCTACACACTACAAGGAGCTGGTCAGGCAACGTGTCAGAGTAACTCACAGTGGTCCAATACCGCACCAAGATGTACGATTGTTAACTGTGGGTCACCACCATCTCACCACACGTCTAGTGTGCTGGCCCCTAGCACGGTTTATAGAAGCACAGCCAGCTATACATGTTTACCTGGTTTCCAGCCCAGCTCTGGCCTTAATCAGCTAACATGTCAGCCCAGTGGCCGATGGAATGGAGGTGCACTGGTTTGCTCACGTAAGACACTATTTCCTTCTGGCTCTCAATGTACAGTCACCTGGTGATAAGAACCTTTCCTGCCACCAGTCCCAAAATTTCCCTCTTGTTATTTAACCTACATGATACTTCGATGCTTCCTGAGTGTGTTTTGCTTCGTGTTACTTGCAGTTTTTCTGAGCACAGGGGAAAACATAAGCCGGCATCCAGAGAATTGAAATTGATGTCAACATGATTGCTATCTGGGTATGTCATATGTCTGTATTTAAAAGCAACAAAATTCCGCCGCTCCTGTGTTCATTACAGGGATTCGTTGTTTAGCTCTTCCACACTTGTCAAATGGAATCATACAACAACGTCTGACATCACAGTTTGCCTCTGGGGAGAGGTTCAACTTCACTTGCAACACAGGGTACAATTTGATTGGCCACAACTCCACAGTTTGTCAAGACAATGGGCAATGGTCGAATCCTCCTCCCACGTGCAACGTAGTGGACTGTGGCCAACCTCCCGATGGCAACAACACATTTTCTAATTTTTCCGCCACAGTGTATGGAAGTGAAGTGACCTATGCCTGCCTGAGTGGGTTCCAAGCAGGGGTGGGAGATTTCCTGCACACGTGCTTGGAGACAGGAGAGTGGAATGGAACACTGCCCGAGTGTGCTGGTAAGGATGTGACATACACACATTCTGCATACTGGCCAACCCTCCCAGTTTTCCCAGGAAAATGCCGGTAAATCAACCTTACTCCCGGGACCCCATGGATTTCAAGCAAACTCCTGGAAAATTCACATTTTTGTCTGATCCAGGTTTTCCTGAAAACTCCAGGCACTCACCTGCAATGTCCCGGGTTTTCAACAAAATGTATGATACTCGCACTTCGAACTGTATGTCGTACACGGCAATTTCAAGACCAGCCTAGCCTAGCCTGCGTGATCTGCACTGACACTGGGCGTGTGCTGACTGATCGAACTGCACTGCATGGTCGAACTGTGCTGTACCCACTCGGAGGTGACAGTCCTGTTATGTAGAATGTTTTTGGCGGGAAAAGCTCCTTTTCACATGTTTTGGTGCCATCCAGGGATTTTGGGAGAAATCCAGGGATTCTGCATGTCCTGTCAAGGGATTGAGATTTTCTGGTTGGTCAATATAATTCTTGCATTAGAATGTTGCAGAATTTCACACAGTGTGGAATGTTATTTTTGTCGAATTTTTGACTTTGCCCAATATGCCAAGAACAGGTCTCTTTAACATGTCATAGTGGGTGAATGAGGTCCACTTAGGGATAAAAGTAGCCAACTTTGAGTGAAATCAGAAAAGTGTTTCATGTCCTGTGATATTTGGTTGATACCGACATAGACTTTTAAGTTGTTTTCTGACTCGCTCGGCCCACTAGTTAATGTAGCATCACTTGGGTGTTTATCATTGTACTGTGTATTATTGTCTCTCCTTGCCTCTCCTTATCTCACCTCTTTCTTTCTTTCATTTTGTTTCTCTCTCCTTGTGCATGAGATTTCTTCGCATATTTTATCACTTAGTTGGGTAGCTTGTAATTGTTACCACCCCAGTGATACTAATTCTCCATGCCATGGCCAGCAATCGAGGACATCTGGGAGTTGTAATTTTTGTACTCCTCTGAGGTGTGATTTTTGGCCTGGGCCAGGCACAAGGAGAAGCCTTCTGCTGAAACAAAATGAATAAGCAAAAAATGGAACTGTATACACCACAACCATAAGTTGAAGGTATTAGCAATGGAGCAGAGCAGAGGGCCCTGCACCTTCAACATGTTCAATACTAAAATATGTGATGATTTCATCAAGCTCAGTTACGTATATTACTACAAACTAAACTTAGGTTTCACAACGAGAGAGCTTGGAAGCTCAGGGCCCTACGTTATGCTTTTATGCTTTTTTTGCCTAGCTCATCATGCATGTTATTAGAACTGATGGAAATGTTTTTTTTCCGTTGATTGGCGACATCATTTTATTGCAAAAACGTTTCAGCCAGTTTGAATATGAGTTAGGCAAAAGTATTTGCAGAATTTATTGCGGATTGTTATTTTTCTCTAATTTCATCCACTTTTGGTTTGCTCCTTCTTTTCTTTTTATCTCCTTATACTGTAAATCAACAAATTTTGGCCGATGAGAAACTTTGGCCGATGAGAAACGAAACTTTTCACCGTCATTAAACTTTGGCCGATTGGAGTTTTCAAAAAGATATCGATCGGTATTTTTTGCTCTCGCATGCATCCATTGCTCAATCATGCATCAATAGCCTCTATGACAAACTTTGGCCTGCGATTTACTTTGGCCGGTTGGTACCAAACGGCGAAATCAGCGAAATTAAATCCCCAGCGACAATTAGTTGATTTTAATACAGTAATCGGATTTTCTGGCCTTTTTGTAGTAATACATTGACCTGTTGAGCCAATGAGGTAAAATTATATTCCATACAATACGATACAATACAATAATACAAAATAATGTCCTAACCTTGATAGTGTGCTTGTGCTTAACTGCTGCTGACGGCCGAAAGCATGGTTGCCTGTGGAGCACGTTACATAACGTTACAGTCTCCTAAAATACGTATCCTGTCCGACGGCAAAAGAGGCTGCAGATTTGGTTTTTCTGCGCGTTATCAGCAATGACTACTGGTCTTCAGCAACTTGGGTCTCCTGTAATACGCTGGGACCGGCGCTGACTCTGCCGATCACGGGCGTTCTGGAGTCGACGGGATCTCTCTTCCGACGTTTCATGTGACTGGCGCTGAATCGCCCGTTCACGCTTATTTTGGAGACGACGGGATCTCTCTTCCAAAGTATGTTTTTGCTGACGCATCCTATCACCTATTCGGCAACTAACGTCCATTCTAATTTCATTCCCTCCTCGTCTCCCTATTTCTTTGCAAATCTCCCTCTACATCAGGGAGTCATATACATAATACGACGAATATTGTGGCCCGCTGTTTGTGGCCAGCTGTGTTTGATGGTACGGTACGGGACAGATACAGGAGCCAGCAAATATTGTGGCCAGCTGTTATGTACGATCCTGTAGAGCCTTTGTAGTCACAGATACGGGACAGATACGGGACAGATACGAGATAGCTCCAGGCGTGACACAAACACACAAACAAACAAACAAATACCAAATTAAAGCTGTGTGGACCCTGGCTAGCGCCAGATGTTACTGAAGTAACGTCTTCTGCATAGCTACGGGAATAATTAAAATATTGCGACAGAGCTTTCGGCCATATACCACTTTACGATATTCTCTCTCCACCGGTCACCACCATGCGCTAACAGCCAAACCAATGCATGAAGCATAAACACACCAGCACAGCAAGGACACTTCCATTGACAAATAATTTGCAACGCCTCTAGACAGCTGTTTTGCTCCTTGGAGCTCATCGGTAGAGGATTTTGAATTATAATGATGGCAAAGGAAGGATCATTAATTTGAAACACAGCAGATATGGTGCAATTCCACGCTTTCCACATACTGTCTCTTGTTGTCGCACCACACGTCACGCTTGTTGGGTTTTCTCTCACTTGCACCTTTGTGTCACTATTGCTATGTGTATAGGTCACGCATTTTCGCTGTTTATTTTAGCTGTCTTCTTTACGCTGTTTTATCACCTCCTTACTGTACTTAATCCATTGTTCTTGTTCCTTTCCCTTTGCCTATATTCCACATAATATGCTAGTGTTATATTATAACACTGGCATATGCAAGCAGGCTGCTAAATGTGAGAATAGTGTGAAGAGCTATTTCACGTGCACAGTGATGGACACACCATACAGTGCAGGCAACGTAAATTACGCAGAAATGCCACTACAACTGATTGCAAGAAAGCGAGAATAATGATGCCACTAGAAAGTATACTGTGCGTAGTGAGATGATGTTGCTGCATTGTCCCTCGTGTACAGGCGAGGCGAGACTCACCGCCGAGATCTGCCAAAGCGACAGGCTCGGTTGCAGCTCAGAATTCACACCGCCGCCATGTCCGTCCGTCAACAGGATCGACAGCAGGAGTTCTCACTGATGCCGCTTCCCTATTGCGCGGTCTGCCTCTATGCAAACATCTCCTCTCTTCCTTGCTTACCGCCATTGGTCTCTCCTCCCACAACATCTAAAATCCTGCCAATGTTACAATACATTCACACAGCTACTGCAGAATGCAGCATACTAGTTGATGTCGAGCCCTGCCCTAGCTTCTCTTACTTTTCAGTTCCCCTTTCATTCTTTTTCTTTCTCCCCTCTAGCTCTATTACCGCCATGGCCGGCTATCGCCCACATCACCATTTCATTGGCTAGTGCCACGGGATTGTGAATAATAATAATAATAATAATAATAATAATAATAATAATTCAAAGGCAGGCATAGTGGGATGGTCTAAGACCATGATTGAGAAACAGAGGGTACCAGGCTATGTCGTTGCTGTGTCATCATCTATGTGCCATGCGCTACTTGATGTACCAGCCTGCTATGCCGGATACCGCCAGCCATGCATCGACCAGGCGCCAGGCGCGAACTGATGGTGGTGGTGGTGAGAAGGAGAGCTCTGTGCCAGAACTTTGCAGCCTAGAGAGCGTGTGTGGGCAGGCGTGTGTTTACCGCCATATTGCCAGGTGTGTCTTTACCACCATATTTATCAACCATAAGTACAGCTGCAGTGATGTTTTCAACTTCATTCTCCCGAGTCAAGCTCCGTATGAAGACATTCAAGAAGAAGATTGCCTGATGAGTCCAGCGGGGACGAAACGTACGTCGCAATCGAGCTATGTCGTTGCTGTGTCATCATCTATGTGCCATGCGCTACTTGATGTACCAGCCTGCTATGCCGGATACCGCCAGCCATGCATCGACCAGGCGCCAGGCGCGAACTGATGGTGGTGGTGGTGAGAAGGAGAGCTCTGTGCCAGAACTTTGCAGCCTAGAGAGCGTGTGTGGGCAGGTGTGTGTTTACCGCCATATTGCCAGGTGTGTCTTTACCACCATATTTATCAACCATTTATACATGGGATATAAACTGAACACAAATCAATGCAAAGCCAAGGATTGTGTGATAGTTTGTTCATATTCCACTTGTATAAACCTAAGAGTAGTCTGGAGAGTATATATACCGTATTTCCCCGTAAGTTAGTACGTTCTAACTTTCGAACTTAGCAGCCACATGAGTACTAACTTTCGGGCAGTACTTTTTTATCGGGGGTAAATGACATGCAGTGGGAAGCCTGCGCAACTCTAGTGTCCGTGCATATGATGTATGTACTGTAAGGTGTCTGTACATGTAGGACGGGTACGAACTTACTATCTTTCGGGGGTAGTTTGGAGTTGACAGGAGGGCATGCACATCGAAAACACGCCTTGCCAACGACCCGTTCTTTCTCAGTTTTAACGACCACTACTCAGCCAAAGAACAAAAACAACAACGAAGCACAACGACACACCAACGCTGATGTGGCATCGCAAATCCCGTACCGTGCACGCAGGCACTGGGTTGCAACAGAAGAAAGACGCGCTGCAAGCGTGCCAAGCAGTGAGTGAGTACGCAACGCTGTACTAATGCCAGTCATGGCAACGGGAGATAAAAATAATTATGGAGATCGATCCGCGCATGGTTCGATCGAGAGCAGAGTACGAAAAAAGCACACATTCAAAGTCAGTTCAAACTGTGCAACAGAAGCAGAAGAGGAAAACGAAAATGAACACTTGTCGTGAAGTGAAGTGCTTCTGTCCAAGGGTGCTTGCACCCGACGGGGTGACAGCGCCCCTAGTCAGACAATACAAGGCAAACGAAATAGAAATTAGCTGAGTCACAGCGCGGGACTCCAAAACGAAAACCGGTGAGTATGTAAATATTAATTGTTCGTACCTGCTGTACAACGTAACAATTGCTCAAATTCGTAACGTATTTTCAAACTAGCACTCGTAGAATTGTAGTGCGAATGTGCCACTCGATTATAGTAACAACGACAAAGAGATACTCTTCTAAACAGGGGGGGGGGGGAACTGTCTTTCGGGGTGATAACCTCGGTAGTGGAAAGTGTATATTTTATAGGGGGTACTAAGTCATTGGGGAGAACTGACTTACGGGGAAATCCGGTATTTTGAAAATACCCAATGCTGTAGACAGCAAGCTGTTTCGGCCATAAAGGCCTCATCAGTACAGCTACGAGCTTTAAGCAAGCCTAGCTACCAGCCATGGTGCAAAGGAGGCACCAAAGACAATAACGTGTAGCTTGTCGCTCTCGTGCCAGAGTGCTCCAACTACGAGAGATAGAAAATTAAAAAAACCTTTTCTGTTTGGAAGTTCACTGGGAGTCTGAACTTCAAAGTATCAGATCAAACGGCTCTTTGAAGTATTAATGTTTTCTCTGCATGTTTTTGTTCTCCGTATTGTGTCTAGGATGTAGTCATCCTCACTATTTATACCCAAACACCACCAACACAAATGACCATGCTACAATATCCCTGCGGAGCAGCGACACAAGAACGGATAGCAAATTCCCCAGGAACACTACGGTCACATTTTACTGCAAGGATGGGTACAACCTAGTAGGGTCAAGGAATCTAAAATGCAACAACAATGCTACTTGGATCCCAGCAATTCCGCCAACATGTTCTGCCGTCAGCTGTTCAGCCTTGAGTCTTGTAGATGGATGTATACCACACGGCTTCTGCAGGCACAGAAATACAACCGGCAACTTCCGGTATGGCCATGAAATTGAGTTTCACTGCCATGATGGGTATAATCTAGATGGGTCGAATACAACCAGATGCAATAAGACTGGAGATTGGTCTGCTCGAATTCCAAAGTGTAACATTGTAGACTGTGGAATACCTTCAATTGGATATAACTCTATGCTAGCCAGTGTCCCAAGTACACAGTTCAACAGCACTTTGCTCTTTGAGTGCATGACTGGATTTGACATTAGTCGAGGTGATGCGCAAAGGACATGCCTGCAGACTGGAAATTGGAGCGGTGGGCCATTACACTGTACCGGTGAGATCTGCTTGACCTTGACTCTCAATTCAGTCTTCTACTCTGTTCCTTCTATTCCCAGCTGTGAAATGTTGAAAATCAAATTCGGACTAGCTGGGGAGACTATTGCTACCTCCGGGTTGTTTTATATTTGCACTGCAATTTGGCCGACCCGGAGTCATTCTTAGGTCCACTAATGAAACCTGAGGTCAAAAAGGCCGAACTGTCAGCCTTGCAAATAACAGCATTCAACGGGATCAGGAATTATTGTTTTCGACCTTGAGAGTCATAACAAAACCAGGAGCTGTCCAAATTGAATCACGAAAATGACTCGGAAATGAATGAAAAATGAATCCTCATTTTCTCTACACCATTTCTTCACATTTTCATCGTTTTTTTGCACATTGTCCCCACAGTTTCACATTACATGAATAAAGTGTACACAAATGTCGATCCAGCTTGTATTACTGATTGCGGTTATAAAGGCAAAGTATTTCAATAACCGACGAGGAGATAACAGTCGTAAAATAGCAATGAATAACACTAATTGTGCACTCATAACCATGTGGACCAAGGAACTACAAGATACGCTGTAATGTCCACTCACACCACCAGTTACTTTCTAATCAGCTCTTACGATAACGTTGCACGACGCTGACCAACGGTACTGACGTTCTACACCTAACTGGCAATCAGCTCTAGCACATCTTGGATGCGCACACCAACAGCCTTCGAGCTTGGAAGGTTCTGAGTTAGAAATAACATAGGAGGGGAAGGTAAGTACGAACAAGACAAGCACGAGCTGAAAGTCTCAGCTGTGAAGGACATTGGCGGATGTACATGTATGCTGAAGACGATACTGGCAAGACTATCAGACAAAACCGTCAAACCACAATACCACACCAATTGTCTCACACCGAATCACAAAACCACCCAATAGTATGGTGCACAAGCATAATGCAAGTGAGATAATGCATGTAACCTCATTCTAAAATAGTTAGTGCATGGCAGGGAGGGCCTTATGGCTTGTTTGTACCCTTCAAGTCAGCCCTCAGGCCTACAGCCCTCAGGCCTACAGCCCTCAGGCCTACCGCCTTCAGGCTAACCTGTCAGGCTCTAACAAGCCATAAGGCCCTCCCTGCCATGCAATAACCTATAAATAGTAAAGAAGGAACTTCAAGTTGCGCTGTTATGTCCACTAACACCACCAATTACTTGACAATCAGCTCATGCGATAAAATTGCACCAAACTGACCGACAGTACTGACATTCTACAGCTAACTGGCTATCAGCTCTAGCACGTCTTGGGTGCGCACTCCAACAGCCTTCCAACTTGGAAGGTTCTAAGTTATATGAAAACATAGGAGGGGAAGGTGAGCGCAACCAAGACAAGCACAAGCTGAAAATCTCAGCTGTGAAGGACATTAGCGAATGGTCATGCATGTCGATGGCGATACCGGCAAGACCATTCGACAATACGGTCAAACCACGAATCAAGGACACATAGCAACATACCACAGGGGCGTCGGAACAGGTCCGGCAGGTGCGGCCAAAGCCGCACCAATAACTTTCGCATTTTTTATATACATTTCAACCTTGTTGGTGGCTTGTCGACTCTTGTACAGGTACCATGTTTTACATCGACAATGCGGTGTATCATCAGCATGCATATTCTTATTTCTCATATCATTCTGTAGCGTTAATATGGCTTTTTAGGCCCAATTTTCAAAAAATTTCCCGGGGACGACCCCCGCACTTTGGCCGCCACTTTCTCACACTTTGGCCGCACCAATGTAAAACTCCTTCCGACGCCCCTGTACCACACAACTTGCGTGGCTCTAAAGATGCAAAGATCAAATGACGGACATGAACATGCATGAACATCCGCTGACGTGATTTCTTCTATTTTAAAATGACTGAGGAAGAAGGAAAAAAAGAAAACGCACATACACACGGATCTCACAAAAAGTGTTATACTAAACATGCACCACAGTTATCATGTTCCTTTACTTCTACTGGTCCGCCAAGTTTAAATTGGCGCTTATCTTCGCATTTGATTTTTTGGTGTTCTGCCTGCGTCATACGGCATGGGACCACCGATTCACCATCTGAACATAACCATTGACCATTCCATCCGACGACATGGCAGCACACACCATCACAGTATTTGCGATCGGTTCGTTTGAGTCTTTTTGACGGAGCTGCCACCGACGAGCACTTCCGTCAGCGCAAGAAAACGCTGCAACGTCTGCTCGAGTCGGTAAAATAAGTCGGGATGTTCGCATTTCAGAGCTATGTAGAATACAGTTTCTGTCTACTTTCAGCTGTCTGGTGGCAAGGATTGTGTACCGCGGGGAGGTATAGAAAAGCTGGAGAAGCTCTTCGCGGGCTTGAATTTCAGTGCTGGCACAGTACAGCGCCTAGTGAAGAGTGATTATTTCTGAGTTATCACCAGCAAATCGCTGAAGAAGAAACTGCAGCTCATGTCGACATCTCCAGAAAGTGAGACCAATCTGGCGGACACACTTTGAAGCTCATAGGGGACCGGGCAAAGGAGCTAATCAAATAAACCGTGACTTAGTCCTGAGTGAAACTCTCGTGCAAAGGACTTCACGAAACTAGCCGAAAAGCCTGGCGCAAGGCGTTAGGGCTTAGTTGCAGTACACACAGGTGCTACTAGTACATCAAGCGGAAGCTATCATTGCGCTGCATGTACAAGCACCAGCGGCTCGCGTGGGTGCTGATCAGCAAGTACGACAAGCGCAAGAAGCGATTTGAAAAAAGGACATTGACGTGGTGTTGCCATTTTGTCTCAAACAAAGTCGTATTATTGCGACGAACGGGGATAACACTTACAGCCAACTCGCGGGCAGTCTCACTCAGCTTCTGAGCGGCAAGGTGACTGCCTTTGAGCGTGATTTGAGATGAGGAGAAGTGGGACAATCTATGAAACGTGCAGCAGCTGTCCGGATCGAACGTTTTGAGCTCTTCCTCCAGCGACGATAGTGGTGAGGAGGACATGCAACTTGCTTGAATTTTCGGATGGGTTGCTCACTGACATGTAAATAATCACATACATAGTGCTTTGTGATCGTGGCATGCTTCAAATAATATGTATTTCCTTCCTGAGACAAGTGTGAGGATAAGCGCCAATGTTGGGCGGACCAAGTAAAGTATTACTTACATGTATACGCATCGCACAAACTAGCGTAAACATTGCCAACCGAATTGAACGCCGGGCCAAAACACCTAGTCAAAAAAATTGGCACAAAACTATTGTTGCTAGGAACATTGCATTCTGATTCGCACGGCTACACAGCGCAGTTACACTTCCAACAATACAACATGAATGATAAAGCGTGGACCCCGAAAATTTTTGAAGGACATGCCCACACACACTACAATAAGATAAAAACAAAATAAATAAATTGAACTCGGATAATGAGCCAGTACTAAATGTAAAATAGAAGAAGAAAACACATGGAAACGAGTTATGAAGCAACTATCCACGAGTGTAACAAGGTAATAAGCGGTCATTATGTGTTATAACAGGGCACAGAACTGACAGGCTACTGAGGTACGACTAGCAGCCCACCAAGGTAACAAGATCTTAGACTTTTTGTTCTTCCCTTTTTGCCTCTTTCCCGCAATTTTATTTTACTAGCAAACACAGCCCTACTAATAATCAGGGGAAGAGGACAACTGAAAAGACACTGGACAACAAGACAAAGGGGAGTAGGGGCGATGTGCCGATGTGGTTGGCGAGGCTCATCCGACCGGAGGTCTCGTAATCAGTCATAGCCTACGACCAGGCATCAAAAGGAATGCAGCTAGGGAGCGATGGAGATCAAGTGAGAAAGAGAAAGAGAGAGAGAGAGAGAGAGAGAGAGAGAGAGAGAGAGAGAGAGAGAGAGCCACGAGAAAGAGAGCCACGAGAAAGAGAAATAAAATAAAATAAAACAAGAAAGAGATGATGGACGATGGTAGTTGCTCATTGACGGGTGACATAGTCTCACAGGGAGTCCGTGGCCCAGAGCCAATTATTTTGATGCAAGTGGCGGTGGATCTTCGTCTTGAAGGATTGGAGAGACTTCAACTGGGGCATCGGTTCCAGAAACATGTCTTGCGGAAGCCTGTTCCATTCATCCATTACACCATAATGGGAACGAGCGTTGGAAAGTTGGGGGCCGTAGGGAGGAGCACTGTTTGTAGCTGATGCTGATGGCGGACACGGAGCCGCAACCTTGTCCGCGGGACGAGGCTAGCTTCCTGGCGAGGAATCCAGTGAATCCTTCTTTTTTATTTTGAATATTTCTTCTCGAACTCGAAGAAAGTTATCTTGCTGGTCTCTGCATTGTCCAGTAACAATCAAAAGTTGCTCAACGGGTAGCGCTTTGGAGATATATTGGAACCAGGTGCATGAAGGTGTTAGTAGTGTGAATAGTACCATGTCAGTTTTGTGCCTAGTTGTTGTACTTCAAGTACATTCGGACAGCATTAACGTTATCTAGGTAAATTGGCGAACAGTTTTACTTTTAACTCATACTCATTTGTCCTTCTCCTCTTAATATTGGACTTCATCTATCTGCAGGTGACTCGCTGGCATCTCCAGAAGATGCCAAAGTGAGTGATACTCCAGTAATAGCGCTTTCTGCGGCGTTGGGGCTGGCCATTTGTGTCATCATAATCATGATGATCATAGTCATCAGACATCAATCTCAACATAGGTCTGCAGCTGTGAGAAAAAATGTGATGAATCCATCTACTGCACAGCACCCAAGCCTGATACCGTTAGACGAGCTGGTGGCAAATGAAGCATACGGAATCACTGCTGTTCCTGAGCAACTCTATGCTGAGACATCTGAGAGCGGGAATGCAACAAATACCTCAGTGGACACAAATGAAGCCCCATCAAGTCCATTGCAAGCAGCCACAGCAAATAGTCCTTACGCCTGTTTGAACGAGATTACATCCAGTGGAGCTACAGGAAGTTCAGCAGAGCGTGCTACATACACTTCTGCCACTGGCCACACATACGAGGTCCTCAACTTGAATGGAGCTCGATCAAGTCCATTGGAAACAGGAGCGGCGAAAAATTCATCTTACGCCTCTTTGAACATGGCTACTCTTGGTGGAGCTGAGGGAAGCTCAGTAGAGCATGATGCATCCACTGTTGCAATAGGCCACACATAGGAGGTTCTCAACCAAACCAATTCTAGAAGCTACATGCATTACCGCCCATGCATCAGACACTGTGATGGATTGTGCATACTATTTTGGAAGAGAGAAAAATAGAGGCACACACAGAAAAAGAGTGTACAGTCAAACCTCGCTTATCCGGTCCTCGTTTATCCGGATCCCTCGCCATCCGGAAGATAATCGCTGGTTACCGATGTGCAGCATATGTTATGCATACAACATGACCGGACTTCGCGATCCGCATACCGGTGCATGATTTTGCGTACACACTGGTTAAAATGTGTACAACAAGCTTCGTCGTATCCGGTTGCATGTGGCTTGCAGAAGCTAGAATCAGGGAGTTGTACAAGCAGATGAGGTCCTTGACCTGCTGGGTACATGCGGACAGCACTCAGCTGCATGCACTTGTCATTTTTCTGGCTTGTTTTACATACTGTGCAGGCTAGTTGTACTGCATAGGACCCGTCTACATGTATGTACAATGTCACTGCTTTTGACATGCCACATGCACATACAGTATGTGTGTTCAGTTATCCGGTTCCCTCGCCTATCCGGATATTTTTGTGGAAAACAGATGTGTGCGGTTAAGCGAGGTCTGACTGTATATGATTGTGGGTGTGTGTGGGTGTGTGTGTGTGGGGGGGGGGGGGGGTGCATGTGGGTGCGTGTGTGTGTGTTTGTGTGTTTTGTTTGTTTGTTTGAAGTTTTATTTTACATCGCAAACCAAACGGGCATTGATGCCCAATATTATGATGGCGATAGAATAAAAAGTGTGGCTCGATAAAGTTGTACTTGAGAAAATGAGAAAACAGTCAATAGGAAGTATAATGGACCGGTAATTACAAGTCAAGTTCGAACAGAATTAACAATCAGGGAGAAATAGGAAGATGAGGACCTATGCCAGAGGGAGGTACTATTCGGCCATAATAGGGAAACTGAACGCCAAAAATTAGTATGGCTTATCCGAAGGAGAATTGGGCACTGATTCCGATGAGCTATGTCTCGAGCCGATCAGAGAAGAGGAACCGTGTCAAATTTCATAAATAACACCTTCCATATTTGGAAATTGGGCTTGATGGCGTGCGTACTGCTTAGCTGTCACCATGCTGTGCATGCTCAGCAGTGTAATTGAATGGAAGAAAACAATTACTTTGGTGTTTTGCAGCTCTATTTCGTTCCCTGACGGTAACCAAATCTAGATGTAGGAATCTGTTGAGCAGGAGAGTGACACATGTCTTCCCGAAGGCTGTCCAGGCTGCAGTGGTGATGAAGAAGACACGATCATCACCCCGAGATCGATTGTAGCGAATTGGAAAACTCATGGCGAATTTGCTTCCACTCCAAGGCAATGTCGAGGTATGAAGGGTGCTTGTACTGCCTTCCAAAGTGAAGAGGAAATGAACATGGCTTTGCATAGCTGTTGTTCTATGCCAACTTACCTACTCTTGCTGGTACCGTAGTGGCATAATTGCAAATTTCGTGGACGAACAACTCGAGTCATTAGTGGCTAGTGAGCAACACTAACAGGTGAGATTTTTCAATTTGACAAAAATTGTTTTTGTTTGAGAACTGACAGTGGCAGTCATTTGACTCAGTAGGTGTCTCTCTGCTGCTTCTTTCCCTTCATCGGTAGGGTTGTGCTTGAAGTAAAAATAAATAGAAAATGTGGAACAAAAATCTGATCATGTAATTCGAATTTCAACTTCAAAGTTTGTGTACATCAAATCACAAAAATTTCAAGGTGATGCTGTGCATTGAAAAAGACTGGGAGCTGGCAGCAATGGAAAGGGTAGAAACGAAACCAGTAATGAGTATTCATAAGGTAGAGGGAGATGAAAACGGGAGAAGAGTAGTGTCAATAGACAGCATCGTGTTGCATACGTTGTGAATATTGTGTGAATCTAATAATTGGCGAAGGGTAGTGATTAGGCAGAGTATTGTTACAATACAAGGTACTTTGTGAGCAGATAGCAATCAATATCACGGCATGGTTTAGACAGGAACTCATAAATGTCACGAAATTGATAATCCAAAATTATAATATTATCCCCTGAGTAGTATTTTTATTATTATGGTGTTCTGCTGTGTTTACATGCAGAGCTTTGACGTTGCTGGACGAGCGACAATATAAATTACATAAACATGTAGCTCATGGTGTGGGATGACTGCCGTATCGCATTACCAACGCAAACCCATCCTGTGTCAGTGCAGCCATCCAGCAACTTGAACTCCCCGGACCAGATGCCGCTGCAGCTGAACACCATGTCAATGGAAAGCCAGGAGTTGATAGCGAAGCATTCTGGTCTGCACAGTACAAGCCGGCAAAGAACAAAATTTAATATGAATTATAACGCATTGTAATCCTTCCCACGCTTCTTTGTAAAAACAAACAAACAGTGCCATTATCACAACACTTGATCAAGCTTCTTGATGAAGGTATTTTCCATTGTGCTGGCCCAGCATCTGCACCAGAAAGACCATGTACACTTACACGTATCTTGTGTGTGTGTGTTTGTGCGTGTGTGTTTGTGTATCCGTCTGTGCATACGTGTGTGGGGGGGGGGGGGTACACGCACACATGTGTATGGGTAGGAGTGTGTGTGTGGGGGGGGGGGGGTGCACGCACATGTGTTTGGATGTGCGCGCTGCATGCATGTGTCTGTGGGATGGGGTGGGAGTGCACGCACATGTGTACATGTGTGCGCGCAATATAGCATGTGTGTATGTGTTCGTTGAACACAGGGCTCTAGGGTGTCCTAGCGATCCTCCTGATTCCATAAACTTAGTGATCATTGTGATTTCATGTGCTTTGAAGTTAAGTTCGCAATACATGTACTGATGCTTGATTAGATTTATGTTCCACATGTTCTAATTATTTTATTTTACTTCAAGCACTTGTACTATTCAACTTTTCAAGCACAACCCTACCAATGAAGGGAAAGAAGCAGCAGAGAGACACCTACTGAGTCAAATGACTGCCACTGTCAGTTCTCAAACAAAAACAATTTTTGTCAAATTGAAAAATCTCACCTGTTAGTGTTGCTCACTAGCCACTAGTGACTCGAGTTGTTCGTCCACGAAATTTGCAATTATGATTGATTGATTGATTTTTATTTCACGGATCCTCCAGAGGCAAATAGATGCCTATCGAAGGGAGTCTCCTATATAAGTATGGAAAATGAGAAAGTATGTTCGTAAGGGAGAAGAGGTAGAAGATACATTAGAATATAGAGTACAGAAGAAGTAAATTCAGTACTTCGGGTAGTACATTGCATGCTAATCATAATGAGAATTAGAAAAGCAGCATTGCGGACTACTATAACTGACATATACACAAACTATTGAAACTATCATAGATGTGGTTAGCCTAGACACAAAAGTCAGGAATACCTTAAACATAGATTGCGAATGATACCGACGAACAGCAATACTAAATTTCGCTGTTGTAGAGAGTGAACGAATATCTTCAGGAAGTTTATTCCAGGCAACACTCAATTATGCCACTACGGTACCAGCAAGAGTAGGTAAGTTGGCATAGAACAACAGCTATGCAAAGCCATGTTCATCTCCTCTTCACTTTGGAAGACAGTACAAGCACCCTTCATACCTCGACATTGCCTTGGAGTGGAAGCAAATTCACCATGAGTTTTCCAATTCGCTACAATCGATCTGGGGGTGATCACCACTGCAGCCTGGACAGCCTTCGGGAAGACATGTGTCACTCTCCTGCTCAACAGATTCCTACATCTAGATTTGGTTACCGTCAGGGAACGAAATAGAGCTGCAAAACACCAAAGTAATTGTTTTCTGCCATTCAATTACACTGCTGAGCATGCACAGCATGGTGACAGCTAAGCAGTACGCACGTCATCAAGCCCAATTTCCAAATATGGAAGGTGTTATTTATGAAATTTGACACGGTTCCTCTTCTCTGATCGGCTCGAGACATAGCTCATCGGAATCAGTGCCCAATTCTCCTTCGGATAAGCCATACTTAATGTTGGCGTTCAGTTTCCCTTTAACCGTGGAAAACACTTTCAGCAATCTGTTAAACGGGGTTGGACGACGAGTGGACCTGAGTTCCTGTGGCAGGGTGTTCCAAAGCTTCACGGCGGAAACCAATGGACGGCTGTCGCCAGATGTTTGCCGAGTTAGCGGCACAATGTATTTGCAATTGTCATTGCCACGGGTGTTACTGGGAGGTTGGAGGGTTACTCTATCTTTCAGAAGAGGGCTGATGCTGCTGGTGTGGACACGGTGCCTAAGGAAACGGAGTTTGCATTTGACACGTTCAATTACAGGGGTCAGGGAAAGGCGAGTATATATAGGAGTGGTATGGGATGGGAAGGGCAATTTGGCTACTCAGCGAACACATCGCTTGTCGAGGACAGTGAGCTGGTACCGCTGCTGTGTGTGTGTGTGTGTGTGTGCCTTGCAAGCTGTTGAATGGTGCAATCCCAGCACAAGTTGCTATGGCTTCTGCTGTAGCATCGCTATCATCGCCTCTGGCGATGGGCGTCCAATGGTCAATGGTCAATGGTGTGTGGTGTAATGTTGTACCTGCCACCTTTGTTGGTTCCAGGGTTCATATACTTTCTATTTGAAGTATACATACCTGTTAACCATGGACTGCTTCTGGCTAGATTAACTCTTGTGTAATCAATGGTGCTAGTGAAGCTTTTATCAGATCCACTCTGATTTAGCCACTCACACTAGTAGCAAGTATTACCTTCACTGGCGGCAGGGGTAACTGCAGTTGGATCCCGGGGCGGATACCCTGATGCCGTCAATCCTTTTTCTGCACCTTGTCCTCACCCACTTACTGAGGTGTGGTGAGCCAATAAGTGGGGTCATTTTCAAGTCCACCCAGAGTTTTGGGGATTTCAGGGGGTGTCGGCCGTTGGGCGGTTCAATAACCAATTGAGTCATCTTTCCAAGATTCCTTTTGAGTCTCTCTCCCCTCTCCCGGGGAGACTCACGTGACCAGTTTTGGCAGTGAGCAACAAGTACAGTACAGTAAGTACAAGTGTGTGTGTACATGTTTGTGTGTGTGTGTGTGTGTCTGTAAGTGTGCGTGTACGCAGCGGTTCGTCGGCTTGCAGCCTTTCATCACCGCTGCGTTCGCTTCCTGCTGGATATTCCCAGAGAAACACAATGGCAGGAGCACATCTCCAACACCACTCTCCTTGAACGAGCCAAGGTATAGCCGATCGAGGAGGCACTGAAAACGCGTCGACTCCGCTGGTTAGGCCATGTTGCTCGAATGGATGACTCCCGTATGCCAAAGTGTATCCTCTTCGGTGAACTGGACAAGACCCGGCCAAGTCATGGGCCCCGGAAGCGGTGGCGGGACAATGTTGTGTCCGACATGAAGGACCGCCAGATAGTGGGCTGGTACGACCTCGCCCAGGATCGCAGAGAGTGGAGATCAGCATGCAGCACCATTCCTCCGACCGAGCCCGTCACCTTAGACTTCGTTTTCACTTGTGGAAAGCGCTATCGCCGTCGCCAGGACTTGACTCGCCACGCCCGATTCTGCTCGTGACTTGAACACTGTTGGTCCCTTCGGGACCTGCCATCATCTCCGGATGG